CTCCAAATGGAGCAATAGATCCTATATTCAAGTTATAGGCATGCGAGTGAGCTGCGTTAAAGAAAAATGGTAGAGGGTTTTGATCTTTTCCTCCAATTCATTTAGAAATTCTTCTAATCTTATGCAAATGAGGTTTCACTAAATGTTTTGAAGAACTACATCTACCTTAGTAGACCCAGAGATGCCTGAAACAAACCGGCAAAGAAAGTAGCAGTTAAGGCCAATTTAAGGTAGAGAATTGGGTCTTCAACACCGGAAACACTTTCACTAAGCATTGTTCCCATTATCAAAGATGCTATAGACACCGGACCAACAGCAACATGCCTAGAACTCCCCAGGAGAGAATAAATCAACGGAGGAACGAAACTCGAATCTGCATTCGCATCCATAAAATGGAAATTTCACGATAAGGGAACTTAATTTTTATGCAGAATTAATCCATAATTGAATTAAATTAGGAAAAAGAGTAGTTCTGGCTGTGATACTGACATAGTCCTAGTATTGGTGCCAAATTTGCAAGCTTTGCATAACTGATTCCCTGCAGTTCAGAAACCAAACTCAGATAACGTATGACAAATACTTTTTTGCTGGTACAATTACAGACAAATTTAACAAGAAAACCAAGTTGTAATGTATGTCAAATGTCAATGTTTTTTTTTTTTTTCTGTCCAGACTGGCAAAATAAAATGTCAGTCCCAACTCGAAAAGACAAAGATGCCCACAACAGTTCGAACTAGTAAACTCATGTTCTTATGGGCATTTTTATCTTTTGTCAGGGTTTGGAAAGAACATTTCTCGTAGGTGTGTTTGCTTAGATGCCAAATATTTTTAAAAGGGAAGTGGTTGAAAAATATTATATGGAAAGTAAGAAAGTAATGTAAAGAAATTTGTTAAATTTTGTAATAAATTTTGTTTAAATTTTATTAAATTATTAATTTTTTTGTGTTTAATTAGAAATTCATAATGAGAGAAGTTGTTAAATGGTGCTTCATAGAGAAAAGTTGTGGAACTTTTTTTTATTAAAAAATGTGAGAAAATAATGATTATACCGTTTTTTTATTTTTTTTTATTTTTTTGTTTTTATAGTTTTGAATTGTAGAAGTATTAAAATACTTTTATAAAATCTTGAAAGAGGATATTTTTTATAGAAGTTTCCAAACTTACCCATAATGCATTCCATTGCTAGCAATAACATGACTCTGAATCATTCACAGATGAAGATTGAAAACAAAATCATGTTCCCTAAACCGGCCCTTTTTTTTTCTTTAAGAACATGATGGAAAACAAACACAAATCTTTTCATTAAAGAAAGAGTTGCTTCTGTAATTTTTTTAGAAAAAAAAAAAAACTATTTAGATAAACCTTTTCTGAAACTAACACATATTTTCTAAAAATGTCATTCTAATGATCCAAAAGAAATGGAATGTATAGAAACTTGTATATCATTAATTCTCATTAAAAAAATACACACCATTAACACTAAACACAGATGTTTCAAGATTTCTTTGTGAATTACCTGTGGGATGGCAAGGCTAGCAATGGTGAGACCAGAGATGATATCAGACCTGAAGAGCCTGAGATTGTACTCAGGCCCCCACTGGATTATAGGGAAGAAAAACTGAAGACCCAGAAGCAGTTTTCTGCACCAAGTTTGGTTTTTGAATCTGTGGAGAGGAGCATCAGGGAAAAGGATCTCAGAAACCCTGTGCTTAAGTTTCTGGAAAGTGGTTGTTTTGGGAGGCAAACAAACACTATGTACTTCCATTGGTAGAGGCATTGCAACTTAGACCATGACAGTATGTGTGATTTGATGGGTAGAAAAAGCCTCAGTCCTCTTGGAGTTACCCATTCTATTTTAATCAAAGGTTTTTTTGTTTTTGGAAGGGACACTCAAATTTTGTTGCAGAAAAAGCTTTTTATGGCAATGAATTTTTAGAGGAAAATGGGAAAGAAAGCGGAGAGAAGTCAGATTAGATGGCAGTTACTGAACACCGGTTAAAATTCAAAAAATAAAAGTTGAATTTATAAGAGGAAATAACTTTTTAATACTAAAAAAGAGTAGCACCATTCATCAAATAGCAACTGAACAACGGTTAGAATTACGTAAACAGGAAGTAGCGTTGACCATAAAAGGAAATGACTTTTTATAGTAAGAATAAATAGCTCCATTCATCCAACAGCAACTGACCGAAGTACATGAAAAGGAGAGAGAGCAGCAATTAATTAACCCTTCTAATTCAATGGCAATTTTTTTTAAGTGAATATAAGAAATTTTATTTTTATTATATAATTTAGATTTTAATGTATTAAAAATAATTTTAATATTTTTTAAAATTAAAAAATAATTTTAATACAAATATAAAGGTTGAGAAACTAAATTGATATTTTAATCTAATTTAAACGGTAAAAGAGCAGAATAAGAAAATGCACTGTGATTAAAAAAAAATATATAAATAAATAAATAAAGAAAACAAAGACAGAAATTAAGGTACCTTGTCCTCCCTCCTCCGCTACTTACCGTTCTCCCCTCCGGCGGTTCTGCAATCTCACTTCTTCTAACTAAACGGTTAGAGTTTCCCTATCTTAAATCTTTATATCTCTCTGTGAATTCGATTTGCACTTGTATTCGTTTGAAACCCAGCTTGAAACCGGAGCTTTTTTTAATTCTTAAATCATTTTCAAGCTTGCTTCAATTGTAGTGTAGTTTTTGTTCTCTGGTTTTCTGTTAAAGGGTTTCAGATTTTGTTTTCTTACTCTTAAGATTGTTGATTTTACAGATCCAGTCATACGACAAATACTTACTCAATTCAATTGTTGATTCTTGCACTCGAGCGTAATGGTATTGGGGTGCCAATTCTTGGGGAGTTATGAATTTCTTTACTTTGTTGAAAATTGGGTTCGAAGAAGTTGTGTTGAAGACGGTGATTTGGTGGTGAGGGATTGAGGATTGGTGACCACAGTATTGGGTTTGTTTGTGGCGTTTGAGACTTGGGTATGGGGAATTAATTTTCATTCTGAAAGATTTGAGATTTGGATCAAGGAATTGAGTTCTTGTTCATTTGGGGGTCTTGTTGATCTGGGTATTGGATTAAAGGAGATCAGTGTGCTTCGGTACTAAGGGTTTTCTTTTTTGTAGCCATGTTTTATGGTGCAGCGGTATGGGATCCTTGGCTTATTGTTGCACAAATTGTTTGCCTCCAATGTTTATACTACATAACCCTTGGAGTGTTCTTGTCCGTCCTTGTGGGAACTCGTGTTTCTCGGATGAGCCTGGTGTATTTCTTTGACTTTGCTACAGTAACTACATCTACCATAACTGGGTGGTGTGTAATTGCTTCTGTTCTGCTCAGTGCTGTGGCAGGGTGAGAATCCAATTCTTTCTGTAGTATTCTTTCTATGTCTGTTTCATTCAGTGGTCTTTTTTGCTTCATTTTCTTTTTTCTATATCTGGTATGGTGTTTAAAGTCCTGGGCTGACAAGCACAAGAGTAGCCACTTGGACAAGATACTAAAGGGTAGGTCTGTTTATAATTCAACTATTCCGTTAAAGGCCCCACTCCTCCTCCCCGTCCCCTATAACTGAATGATGATCCTTTGTGAATGCTTACACTACAAGAACTGTTTTTGCCATCTAGTTACTTCTTCATGTTGTTAGGAAGGTACATTATATATCAATTAGTTCTTCAGATCCATGCATAGGTGTAGATGATTACTTTCTATCTGCTACTCTTGAATCTAAAAATGCTTAAATAAAATGTTTGAAACTTGCTGACCAAAAAAAAAAAGAAGAGTTAAAATCATGAATAAATGTTCAAATTAAAAAGTAATTGTGTTAAAGATGGGCCATTCCTTAATTATTTGGAACACAAGATGAAGTTGAATTTTGTATTTTGCTGGACATATGCCCTGCTTTGTTAATTCAGAAACCTTTGTTTCCTATGACCCTTTTAATTTTTCCACACATTATCCTTATTGTATTATGAGCCTTGTTGCTGCTTATTTTGTGGCAATCCTTTTTGTTTGTAGTGGTTAAAACATGAACCAGAAATTCTTATGTTCTCCTTTGGGGGGAGGGAGAAGGGGGCAGCAAACTAAATTGTAGGACTAACTAGGATCAATGGATGACTAGGCAGTACAATTTGAATGGTTGGTTAGAACTTTTTGTATTCTTTGTACAGTATCTTCTCTTCTACCGTGACTTAGAATGATTTGATGTTGAATTTCAGAATTGATCTCTTGAAGATTAAATCTTCACATTTTTACATAGAGCAACTTAGCCTGAGAGCTGTTGTCAACCCTCTCCACGTAGTGCACTTGTTATTTGTGCCAGTTGTGAATTAATTGTCATGTACTCGTTAGAGATTTAGTTACTGACTTACTGTGAAAATATTACTTTGTATGCCAGTATTTGGACTTCAATTTCAAATCAGTTTTTGTGCCCATAAAACACTAAAAGAAATATAGTGAAAAATTCTAACAATGATACAGGTTATGTTATTGGTCATCTTTTACATTTCTACTCATGTTTACTTACCCATTTTGTTTTGTTTGTGCAGTGCTGGGTATATGCTTTATTTGATTGAAAGATCAAAGAAGTGCTTAGATTTTTCTTTCACCCTCTACCTTATCCATCTTTTCTTATGCATCATATATGGAGGTTGGCCTTCCTCAATAACTTGGTGGGTTGTCCATGGTACTGGACTTGCAATTATGACTTTGCTGGGTGAACATTTATGCATCAATCATGAATCAAAAGAGATTCAGATACCACGATACCGATCAAGTAAGTCTTCTTGTGTACTCAAGAGAATCTCATTTTGAAGTTAATGATTGTATTTTGTTTCCCTTGTTTGACGTTTTTGTGAATTATTAAACCTGTCTTCCACTCTCTCTTATTTATTCTATTTGATATTTGGTGCACACGATAACATTGCTTCATTTGATTGAGCTGTGGAGTTAGAACACCTCCACAGCTGTCTTAGAATGTTAGTGCTGGCATTCTTAGCAATGGAATTGATGTTTTCTATGATTGCTTGTGACTTTATGGTATTGGCTTAATTATTGTGGAGAATTCAGTTGAATCTATTTTTCTATTTGGTGCTTCTGAGAATTTTCTTGCGGTCAATTGAGTTCACTGTTTAATCATCTTGCATTCTTTCTAGTTATGGTGCCATGATCAGTATATTGTTTTCTTGATGGTTTTGGTAGATTTTCAGCTAATCTTTTTCCCCCCAACCCCTCCCAAAAGAATTTGACCTTATCTGAGGTCTATTAGACAAATTTTGAAAAGTTAATTTTAATGAAACTATTGAATATACTACTGGGTGATCATTCAGAGGTATGTTGTTACATCCCAAACACTGACGTTGAACTAAAATCCAGGTTTGAGCTAAAAATTGGAAATTTGAATTAAACTTCTAAACTGCTGTTTACTTTCAAGTTTATAAAAAGAACTTCAAATTCAGTTTTTTTATAGAAGATTTTTGTTGATTTATTTTTTTATTTTTTATAATTTATTATTTTAAGAACTAGAACAAATTTAATCAAGTTTCCATCTGAAAGTAAAGTATGCATTTGAAAGTTCATTATAGAAGACTTCAAACAACATCGTTCGACATAGGAAATGAGCTAGAACTTTTAGTTCCAAAAACTAAGTATGTTAACAGCAGCACATTTAGTTTTATGGTTCAGAAAAAAGCTAAAGAAAGATACCAGTATAGTCCTTCCATAACATACATGTTCTTTAAGTGTTTACAGAGTTTGTCAACAAAATGAAAGGTTTTCCTTACAGCAGCCCATTTGTATATCATTACCAAAAAGTTCATATGTTCAAGTACAAAATCAGAGAGCCATTACTGGGTTTTGGGCAGAGTTCAAATTTTTCTTATCAAGGTTAGCACTAGGCTGGCACTTGGACTGGTAGATGCTTTCTCGGCTCCCAAAACATGTATACTGCCTTTAACTGGTTTAATCCTTAACAACAGGGAGACAAACCTCCATGAGCTGAAAGGCTTTATGAGTTTAGTAATAAAATAAATTTAGTTTAGCTAATACAACTTAAACCAACCATACTCCAATCTTAACCCAGAAAAGTAGCATTTCAGTCCTGAAGGTACAGAATCAATTCCATCAAAATGTTCAATAGCACGAAATACGGAAATAGTTAAGTCAGAGATTTAACCTCAACACAATTACTTCATGCCTTACATAAATATTCAGCGTTGTAAACTTTATGCATGAATTTATGTTTTCTTATGTTCCTGAACAAATCTATGGTCACCATTTTGTGAGTGTAGATCTCACCAAATCCTTGAACTGGCCAAGGCTACCCTACTGCGCAGAGGTCTAACATTTCAACTGGCTCCAATTAACTTCAGGAGTCCTTTCAGAATTCCAAATCAGCTCCAACTAACTTTAGGAGCAACCCAGATCACTTTTGGAGTTGTTTCCCTAGCCATTAGCATAGGTCTTTTACTTGTTTGAGCTCCAATTAACTTTAGGAGAAGCCCCAGGTTGCTTTAGGAGCTGTTTACCATAGATTCAAAAATGCTGCATGCCTTTATGGTTCTTGTTCAATGCATTATTTAAATTCTGCTTACTTAAACATGTATATATAAGCGAAATAACATGACTGCATAACTAACACAGTCCATTGTTTAAATATTTTGCAGATTTTCAACCAGAAAATCATCCACCACAGAATTCAAACGTGCAAAGGAGAAGAGAAGTGCAACTTGAGGTAGATTTCTACTTGCATGTACTTTAATTAGTAGCATTGCATGTCTAAAAACTTAGTTTTTCCCACACCTCTTCCCTTGTTCAATTGCATCAAAAATAATTTTTAAAATATAATTCTGGACCATGCTGTACTAAGTTAAATTAAAGTTTTACTTACCTTTCTACAACTAGGTTCAACAAAAAGTCTCC